GCTCCAAGCGCAAAGCTTACCATTTCCACTGACATCTCAACATTTGTCCATTTGCAAAAGGGGTCCAATCCACCACGCCAGTCCATGATCCCATGGCATGGCTTGGCATGGCATCACATGATCATCTTGGGCAATTTTCGCGCATGGAACTTTCAACTCCAAAATGGACTGACAATTGATTTGTGCCAGCCAGCAAAGGCAAGTTGGCCTGCAATTTAAATTAAAAGCGCAATTGAACTGGAAAATTCGTCTAAATTGTTTTTACAATTACCCACACACGTACCCAGGGAAAACCTGAGCAAACCTGATACAAGGAGGAAGAGAGAGAGAGAAAGACTTGGGGAAACGAAGAAGAGTTTCAGTTTTTATTGTGGCACTGCCATGGTCACAATCAAATCCCATCCTAAACAATCGCAGCTCTAACAACATGCAATAGGAGACCCCGACCCGACCAGACCAGAGTACAGAGCACACACAGAGCATCTACAATACATAAAAACCTCAAAACTAATGATTCTGAAGACGGGAGGACGCTGAGACGAAGACGGTGACCGATCCAATGCCCGGCCATGTCTATGGCTATGACTACAGCTATGACTATGACTATGACTATGGCTTTGACTATGTCTTTGACTATGGCTATGGGATAAAATGAAGCTGCTTTCGTTCGAAATTTATGCATGAGAAGAAAGATCGCTTTGGCAGGAAGAGGATCCCCAACAGCAGGGTAGCTAGGCCAAAGAAATGGTTCGCTTTTTTTTTGTTTTGTGGGAGTTCTGAATTTATTTATTTTTATTTTCTTTACTCTTTTGCGATAAAGATCGGAAAAGCCCGAAGTTTAGAAAGGCAACAGCAGTAGAAGCAGCAGCAGCAGCAGCAGCAGAGCAGCATCCAAGCCAGGTCCAGGCTAGCAACAAGCAACAAGCCAATGCCAGCGAAAGAGCCAGAGCCAGAGCCAGCTTCTACGGGTATCTATGTATCTGCAATACATAAATTGTATGTATCTATGGCCTGCCACCACTGCCACATACATGCAAACATTCTACAATGTATCTTCTCGGTGTGTGTGTGTGTGTGTGTATCTGTATCTATGTAATGAGCATGTAACTAAACTTCTGTGCAGTCAAAACTCCTACAACAGAGACACAAAAACAAAAACAAAAAGAGACAAACACCACACCGAATCCCCCAGTTGGAAGAGACCCAGAGACCAGAAGAGATTGGGGGCAAGAGTGGAAGGGTACGGTACGTGTAGAGCTAAAGCTGAAGCCGAACCTGGAGCTGAAGCTGAAGCTGGAGCTGTGGAGCTGTGGAGTACCAGCTCTAAAACTCCCTCAATACCCGTTTGCCGCAACTTTACTTCAATTCAACTGTACTGGCTCTTTCGCTGGGACTCTTGGCCGTGTCTCTGGCTGCGACTGCGACTGCGGCTGCGGCTCTGCTCTATCTGATGATGGCCGTTAACGTTCAAGTTAAGGCTGAAGAGCGCCCCGACCCGACCTGCCGTGCCCTGCCCTGCCAGTGCCCTCGCGTTCTTGGTTCTCCGCTCGATTGCTCGATCGTCTGCTGGCTGCTCGCTGCTCGCTCGTTCGTTTTGGACAGAAGTTTTGTGTTGCCTGGTTCTGCTTCCCCACTCGTAAACATGAGGTACGTTCTTTCCTCTTCGCGTTCTCTTCTTTTCTTTTTACCCTGCCTGCCACGGCTTGACTTCATTTGTTTGGCTTTTTTGGGAGACAAAAAACTGGTTATTACTCTTTTCTTCTCCTTTGGTTTTGTTTTTGGCTTTGGCTTTTTCGGTTAGAGGTTTTTTTTTTCGGTTAGAGCGGTGGGTCTCTTGGTCTTCGTGGTCTTCTGGTCTGGTCTGGTCGCGCCGTTGACTCTTTTTGGACGCAGTGGCGTATGCAAAGGGGCCAAATGAGCACGTTGGCCCAGAGCTCACCCGCCATCTACGTCGCTGGCCTGAACTCTACAGGCTACGCAGCTTCCCAGCAGCTACCATTTTCGATCCGAGCCACGACCGACGCAGGCATAAAAACCAAATCTCTGCTTCTGAGCAACGTTTTGTGGGCAGCAGCGGCAGCGTGCAACAAGTAGGAAGTGGGCGCGCATTGGCATAGGCTTGGCCCGGACTGATCGGTCTTCCTTCTAGCCAGCATCCATGCCACCATGCCGCCATCCCACCACCTCCCATGCCCATGCCTATCTCTCCTATCCCCCTGCCGCCCGGCCGCTGCAATGGCAACTTTTTTAACGTCCAACTCCTTTGTTACATTTCGCGAGAGAGGTAAACGATCGTTAGAAAGGTTTTATATGAAGCCATGGCTTCAGATTTGCGCTCATGTCTATTTATTGGACTTGCCGTTGCTGGTGCTGGTGCTAGTGCTAGAGTTGGACGTGGACGTGGACCTGGACCTGGAGCTCGAGCGGTGCTGAAGCTGAAGCTATCGTTTCTATGGTCATGTTACCGCAGCCTGTCGTTTAAGATGGCTTTTGGCTGCGTTCGTTGCTGGGTTATGTTTGTTTGGTTTGGTTTTGGTTTGGTTTGTTGGCCTGCACAGTTTTTTTTATCCATTTTGGTGGCCGTGGCCTGTGTCCCATCCTCCAGCCTGCTGAATCGTCCATCTAGCTGTAGCTGCAGCTACAGCTACAGCTACAGCCTCAACTTCAATGGCAGTGGAAGTGGCATGAAATGCTGTTAACCTCGTTTGAACTTTGCCATTTGTTTGAGCCATTTGGATGGGCCGATCTTTCTTTCTTTTCTGCTTTTGGACTGTTTAGACAGGCCGGCCAAGCAATTTAAATATATTGCAAACAAAAGGAGTGTATGTAATTTAATGTGAGTGGACGTCGGACGTCGGCCACGGACATGACTGGGGATGGGGATCGAAATGGGGTTGGGGGTCTTAGATGGGGCACATGGACGTGGCCTGGCAGTTGGGCAATGGCAAAACACAACTGACATTTACAATAAAAGATACGAGTCCGAGTCCCAGTTGGAGCTGGAGATTGCTTGGGTCGCACACCCTCTACCTCCACCTCTCCAACATCAACACCAACACCTTTCCGCTGCACACACCTCGAAGTTTTAGCCGTGACAAGTAGCCCAGGCGTGTGTGATTTTTTGTAATACCCGAGGTAATCGTGGAGTCTCTGGGTATATGGATTGTGCCTGTAACGGCTAGAGGGAAGAGTTTCCTTAATTCAAAAAGATCTTTACTTTATATATTTTAATCTTCCTGTATTTCTGTTTGATCTGGCCAAATGTCCAGATATTCGCATGGTTTTTAGTATAATTATTAAAGCAAAAATGATGAAAGAAATTCACTATATTTTCCTCTTGTTAGGTTTTTCGGATACTTAGCGCCCAATTAGATCATTTTCTAGTTAGTGCACACACAATGGATCCAAGTAGCGGGTATTTCCTAGTCTGAAAATATACTTTGACGTTCTTACCTGCTCTTTAATCTGCTCCAGAGCTGGAGAGCTAGTGCTAGCAGCACTCAGAGGGTTGGGGGGATAGGCTTTGAATTGGGTTATGCGATGGGGCCCAGGCCTGGTACTGTGGGAAGAATTTAGCGTTTAATTGGGGCAGGGCAGGCAGGCAGGCAGTAACAGGAAAAAGAGAGAGGGAGTAACTGGAGTGATATGAAAGCAGCAGAGCAGCTATAAAGATGTTCGTGGCTTGTCAGATGGCTTCGAGATAAGGTAATGTTTAGGGGGAAGAACCCTGACAATCAAACGGTAGTAGATGACCCCACAACAGGGTAAAGATAACCGATTAGTACTACATTCAATAAATGGAAATACCAGGAAGCCCTGGCTTTACTCCCCCGTAGTAAACGTCACTGAATCTTAATTGCAGGAAGCGAAAAATGAATGAAAATACTGAATCGTATTTAAATACAACAAATTTGTCCAACTCTGCACAATTTCATTGAAGACGCAGTCCGTACGCAAAACTGTGTCACCTTGGACGGACAAATAAGACAAAACCGACCAAAGAACGGAAAAGACAACGAAAATATTCTTCCCGCTGGGCAGTTTGGATAATGGGATTCCGAGACAGACGCAGCAACAGCTGCGCCAGCGCTTTAGCGGTGACACGGTGATGTGATGGCAGGAGGGCGGCGGGAAAGCTAAGACGACAGACAACGCATGAACGGGGAAGGCAACCCTTTCTGTAAAGATATCGCCCTTAGTTTTTGGCAACAGCAAAAAAGCAACAGGAATTCCGTATAGTGTGTGTATGTGCTGTACATGAAAACATACATACATATGTACATAAATATGTATGTATGGATGTACCTACAACGTCTGGAAAACCTTTCCACTACAATTCCTCAAGAAACCACCCTGTCAATGGCCACGGGAATAGGAAGAGAGTGGGAGAGAGAGGGAAGGAATAAACAACAGCCACAAACAAGCTGCAGCTAAAAAGGTGCGCGCGTAGATAGATGTAGATGACAACGACGCTCTCTTGTCGAACCGAACGTCGACGTCAACGTCTTTACCAAGTTGAACGCGCCGTTGTAATTATTTTAATATAATTTTTTCACTGCGTCATCATTATTTTTCTCTGCCTTTGATATAATTCTTCTGTGTATCATTTGCACACGATTGCACACACACACACGCACGCTAGGGAGAGAGAAATTCACGCTCAGCAATAAATGTGTGTATGTATGTGGCTAGAGTTCAACACCACTCTCGGGGCTGCCAACCTATCGCAATTTACTTGATCCAGTACACCTAATAATTATTTAATATATTTTTTTAAGTCTTCTAGATCAACTGGAGAGATACGAATATTAAGTGGGTTTATTTAAAAAAAAACGTCCACCATTTAGGTGCTGCAAAACAAGCGGGTGGACAGCCCCAGATCGAGACCAGAGAGAGAGAGAGAGGCTTCAAAGAGAAAAAGGTTCGGAAAAAAAGAGAGTAGAGGATATAAATACAAGCGCGGCGCTTGATAGAGGTTTTGTTGTTTCTGCGCCGCCGTCGCGTCGCTCCAAAAAAGAAATGTATAATTCCCAGTGTCAGTCCGGCGAAAAATATGTTATAAACAAATAATATGAAAATCCAAACCCCAAACAGTATTTAACGCGTGTGTTCCCGTCCGCTGGCCCTCGCCAGTCGCCTTTGCCGCGAATCCACGATTGTGTGAGTGTGTTTCTGTGTCTGTATTCGTTGAATGATGTGGCTGTGCCGTTTTTTCCAAATTGCCGTTGATTACAAGCCGAGACAGTACGATCACACGCACACACTTGCAAACAAAGACTTTACCGAAATAATGAGTGGGGACGGGACGGATGCAGGCAGCATTTACAGTTCGACGGGCTCCGCGACGCTCTGCTCTTTTCCCTCGAATGCAGCGCCTAATTAGAAATGATTTAATTTCAATAACGACTTAATAAAAATGAATTTGCGAAACGAAATTGACGAGAAGAATAACGTGAAAGGCCTGAGCAGAGATCGCATCGGACCAGACCAGGCTCCTCGTGCGTGTGTATGCATGTATTGGTGTGTTTGTGTGTAATTCGCCATACTTCTTCCTCAATGCCTCAATTCAAAGAACAGACAGAAGAAGAGCACTAAAACAACAAGAACAAGAACAGCGGCAAAAGGCAAGACATACTTGAAAAATAAAAGCAGCGCTGCCCCGATCGTTACTCACTCACACAACGGCACTCACTCACTCCAGTAGTAGTCGCTGCCTCTCTTGCTCCATCGCTTTGCTCTCCATTGCTGTACTCTCGCGCGCGTGTGTGTAAGCTTTGCCTGCCATGTCTGTGTTGGTATGTATATAAGCAGGCGAAAAAAAACCTATATATTACGTTCAATTTTCCCTATATTTTTTGCGCCTGCCAATAAGCGGTTCTTTGTCGGAGTTGCCACACAGCCTCGAAATACGTCGAATTTTAAATTGGAAACGAACAAGCGCCGCACGGACACTTCGTTGAAATAGTTGAAGCATGTATGTACGTACATGTGAACGAGTGTGTGTATGTAGGTTCTGTATTCCGCTGATAAGACACGCAGAACCGCCTGCTCCAGAGACTCCCGGCTTATCAACGAAAAGAGGAAAAAACTGTGTAGCAAAAATGGGTCGAGCGACGACCGAGCAAGAACATTGTGTATTGTTTTTTGTTGTGTTTGCACTATCGCTTAATAATTGAAATTAAAGAAAAGAATGAAAAAAAAAAAACGAAGCGAAACCAAAAGACAACCAGCATTCAGTCCCCATTTTAAGTGAGTGTTCGCGATCATACTACTGTTTTTAGTGAGTGAGGGTCCAGTGTTTCACATTGATTTTCTTAGTATTTGTGACTAGATCCACACTCATTAATAACGGTAGTTCAATCAACAAAACGCACGTGTTCCCCTCCACAGATATGTAGTGTTTCTTTGACATTTCTTTCCTGCAATCCCCTTCCGATCCTCCTCCACATATATTTTCAAACAGCCACCACCTGTTTGGGCCCTTTCTGAAAAAGGTAATTAGTCAACTGCTCTCACACGCACGCATTGCCAGCCAGACAGAACGAAACCACCTGTCTGGATGGGAGAGAGAGAAAAATATCCCAGTATAACTGTCCGAATGGAAACAAGAGAAGGGGAGAAACAGAACAGATCGCCCCCCCCACACACACACAACACAACACACATTTGTGGGCTATTTGGATATATATCTATATTACTAAGCACTAAATTACCATTAATGCTAATGTGGATCACTTTTTTTTTTGAACAGAATCAGTAACAGAAGCAACAAAATTAGAAAAGCAGAAAGAATGAAATTAAAAGAGGGGGCGACATGAGAAGAATAGAGGGAATTCAAAGAGCATAAAGAACGAAGATAAAACTGTGGAGAAAGAATGACATAGCAGACCCGAAATTAACTCACAAATTAATTGTGGAATCGCTTGAGAAAATGTGGAAAATGTTGTTCGAGTGATCCGCTGTTCCGTCTGTAGTTTCTGTAACTATAACTATAACGAAAAGGTTAAGAGTTCAACCACACCACTCAGTCCGCCGCCCGTACATGTGTATTCATGTTTGCAGTTCCGCCTCCATTACTGCTGGGTGATGTTTCCTTTCCTCTTCTTCGCTTCTCCTCCGCCCCTCTCTCGTGGTTGGGTTTCTGCCGGAACAAATTGCTGAAAATTCTGGGAAGACTTGCCATAGTTCAGATTAATAGGTGGTGCTACTTGGATCTTGCCATGGGGACAAACAAACAATTTCCGTTGAATCATTCGGTTGCCATATCAGATTTTTTCCTACTCTTATTTTATTTTTGAGAACTTTTGCCCTGATCAGCAGAAATTCAAACTGCAACGACGCCGCAATTCTTAAACAATCGAAAGACGGACGGGGCGGGGCGGGCGACAACGACGAATACGACGTTGTCGGCTTTTGAAAGATGAAGGGAAGGCGACGGTTGGCTTGGCGGTTGAGACGGGAGATATAGTATTGTATAAATCAGCAGAAAAGCCAACAATAATAAGAGCGAACGGGAACAAAAAATAATAAACCTTAATTCGAAGCTTGGAGCTTGATTCATTCATATTACACCCCACCCAGAGCAACGCAGAGCCCCCAGGGGGGGTGGCGATGTGGAAGTGGACGGGACGTGGAGGCAGTCGCAGATTCGGACCCAATTGAGCTATGAAAACCGATCAAACGTCGTCGAGCCCACAATCGAAAATTGTTGCCAGGCACGAGAGCAATGACATGCCATGCGGCCATGCCAAAAACAACAAGAGAGAACCCGATCTGAAAACCAAAACTAAACCCAATCACCACCAATCGCCCGTCTCTCGGGCGAAAAATGCCACAGAAAGTCGTGCACTGGCAATAATCATCATTTGGAGGAGGAAGAAAGGAAAGGATGGACCTGGACCCCGTACTAGTACCAATACCAGTAAAAGTACCAGAGCCTGATTCGGCAGCGTTTGCTCTTCTCTGACTCTATTTTGTCGGCGAACATGGATCTAGTGCACGGTTGTTCATGATTAAGTTCGTGACTAGATTTCATGCTCGTCTATTAAGTTGGGTCAACACAACGAACCGAAAGAGCAGAGCAACGCAGTTGTCGAAAATTGCACTCCAGCTGCACTGCAGCTAGCACAGCACTCCCCCAGGAGAAACGCTGGGTTGGGTTGGGTTCGGTTGGGTGGGGTGGGTCTTGTGCAATTAGCAGACGCATTAATTATGGGAAATATATTCTCATATATGACGGGATTGGATTCGGTCGGTATTGCATGATTGACCCGTGACCCACATAATGGCACACGCCCCGCAGCAGCAGCAGCAGCAGCGGCATACAGCTTTCAATGAGGGCGTGTAAGTTGGACACAAAACAGAAGAAGAGAAAAACAACAGTCAATGGCCTTTAACCGATGACTGTAAGTCGCTGTCTCGGCGGCGGCTCACACGCCCCCTTGAGCGCCCAGCAGCCCGCATCTCGCGTCCCGCGGACAGTAGCTTGACGCTGGGATCGCTGATTTGTGTGTTGTGTGTGCCTTTTTATCGGTACTGTGACAGAGCAGAGTGGAGTGTCAGGCTGCAGCTAGTGACAGCAGCAGCGCGCGGCAGCGGCCCACCAATTTATGGGCTAGTCGCACGCGATTAAAAATCGAATGCTCGCACGGCCTGGGTTGACAAAAACAAATGGAAACTGCAATGCAATGCAATGGAGTGGAGTGGCTGTCGGAGCCAGCCAGCATTCATCGTGTGAAAATCCAACAGGGCTGTGTTTGCTAAGGCTGTGGCGCCTGCGGGTAAGTGTTGCCATCCATGGAGAGTAACGGTGCTTGGTTGTTTTGTGACCAGCGTTACCAGGCAGCAACCAAACCATACCCAAACCAACGACAACAAGACCCAACCGACTGTTGCGTGGGCGTCTAACTGTAACACCTGCTGCTCCTGGTGCTGCTGCTTCGGTCGCTGCTGCCTAATACCGACGTTTGCTATTAAATTAACATTTCTTTGCTCTCTCAACCCTGTTTCATTGTTATTGCTGCTGCTGCTGCTGCTTCACGCTCATTTGAGTGCCAACGCACCAGAGAGAGCGAGAGAGAGAGAGGTAAAAGAGAGTCGAGAGTCTACTTTACATATTTTCTAAATGAATGCTGATTGTTTTTGTTTTTTCCTGTATTGTTATTTGTAGGTACAGACACCGCCGTATGTACGTATATCCATCGAGTTTCAACCCCAGCCAAGAAGAGCATTGAATTGCAACGGAGTGGAATTGCAGTGGAAGTTGATGACTTTCTGGCCTGGCCTGGCTTTCCCTGCACTGAATTTGCACTTCCTCCCAGCCAGCAGCAGCCAGTCAGCCAGTAAGCAATCAGGAACAACGACAAGAAGTCGCCATGACACTGGCAGCCGCCTCGTCAAACGCTGAAACTAATTGATATAATAGTTAAAATAACAAACTAACGAGAAAGAAGTGGTGTGGTGGCAGCGGGAGAGAAGCAAAAGAAGTTGCACCGCGCCGCACCGCACTGCACCGCACCAACAGCAGCGCGGACAGAGCGGCGGCGTTGGTGAAGTGCAAAACCTTTCCAATTTGAAAATAGTTTTCCTGCTATGTGTGCTCGTTCCCACAAAAAGAAATACCAACAACAGCAGCAGTCGCTGCAGCAGCAGCAGCAGCAGTCAGAACAAGCACAGCAACAATGCCTGCACTTCGCAACGACGCCATTGGGCAGAGGAGGAGAAGGAGGAGGAGGAGAGCAACTACAAGAAGCAGACGTAGAAGAAGAGAAGGAGTAGCAGCAGCGGCAAGCGGTGGATCGGATCGGGAAAAAGTAGAAGCACCAGCCAGCAATCGGTGGAGCGGGAGTAGCAGGCAGAACCACCAGCAAGGCAAGCGATGATTGGGAAAAGGAAGGAGCTGGAGCCTCAGTAAGAAAGGGGGGAATGGGATGGTGATGGGGGGGATACTCGTAGTCAGCAAAGATGACAATGCCGCGATTAAAGCAATGCAGAACGAAGAAGAGATGCGCGGAAGAACTTGAACTCTAGTCGCTGTGTCGATGCCACCAGCAGAAGCAGCTGGAAAAATGCTTACCCCAATCCCCAATGCGCGGCATTTCCGTTTACCAGCGGAGGATAGGATGCGGCAGTCGATCCGCTGCAACGGACGGACGGGAATGAAATATAATCACATTTATTAAATCACAATAAAATATGTTTGTATGCACTTCCTAAAAGCGCTTTATCATTGATTTATTCGTTTTAAAAGGCAACAAAGGGCAGGGGGAAACACTACGTCCCACCAATGCTGTAGGCGAATACACCAATTGCAGCTGCAATTTGTGTTTGTGAGAGTTGATTTCTAGTAGAAATTTTCTACTCTGGTCGGAGAATATATCTGGGGCAGGTGAAATATTACATAGTTTCATAGTTAAAATACTTGCAATCGGGTTAATTATTCTGCTTCTGCTTATGCTTCTGAAAATATTAGTCGGAGCAGCGGCAGGCAGTCCAGTCCAGAACAGATCGGATTCACGATCAGATTTGAATTCATTTGGGCGCCAACATTGCTTACAGTGTTAGCGGCTGTTAAGCTCAAAATGTGCTGTAAAGCGCGAAACTACTGTTTTACAACACTGTCGTTTCGATAACTACATTTCCACCTCGATCGTATTTAGCCATTCACACGACGCGTAAGCCATGTTGAATAACCACAATTCGAATTTGAATTTAGCCGAAAGGTGAGTAACAACGATTTAAATATTATTTTGCATTAAAGAGCTCTAAATGTGCACTCATACGCAATTACGCAATTACATGGGCGCTCGATTTGAGTAGTTGTAAAAGCAAGATACATAATCGTAATTTTATCAAAAATTAAATTGTATTAGGACTTTTAATGGAGTCCTAACCTCCCACTTGCCGCAAAGAGAGCTCGAAGATTACAAGTGCAATATGCTGGAGAGCTTTTCCTTTGGCGCGCAACGGGCGGAGCAGAGCAGCAAACAAAACTAACGTAACACGAAGGCGGAGCTGCCACAGACGCACTCGGCCACAATAAATTACCTGTGTGCAATGGACAACACGACCAAATCAGCAGCAGATACGACCATATAATGTCTGTGTGGATATATTTTACGAGCCGAGCATTTGTCGAGCTTTGTTTTGCACACAATTTCGCAGCTGAGCTGGGAAAGCAGCAAGTCACGCAGCAGCAGCCACCTGCCCCATGCCCCACGCCCCACGCCCCACCACTCCACTCCACTCCACTCACATGGAAACTGTAACAATTAAAGACCCCTAAAAGTTGACCATGAACTGCTTATGACTGCATCGAAGTGTGTGCCGAACCTTCGCCTTAACTTGGGGGAGGTCGTCTCCGGATTTGGATCTTTGGCCTGTTTTACGGCTCCGTTAAGATCGCAATTGTGAATGTGGGTAACTTGACCATCCACAATTGGGTTTGGAGCTTCGAATTTGTGCCAACGTATTGTTGTGTGTGTGTGTGTGTGTGTGATTTCCTCCACATCGATTCGTATTTATAGCCAATCTGCACCAAATTCGCTGCCGAAGTGTCTGCCTGCCTGCCTGCCTGCCTGCCTGCCTGACTGCTTGCCTGGTCATTGTTGTTATTGTTTTCAGCTTCTTTTTGCCACTAACACGATTTTGAACAGTTTATACTTTAGTTTTTCTATGTACGAGTACTCTATGTGTATTGTTGCTTGGGCTGGCTGTCTGTCTGTCTGTCTGTCTGTCTACCCGCCTGCCTGGGTGGGGAGTACTTAGCTGCGGGCAGTTGGTTTGGCCCGACTACCGCATTTCGACGACCGGGGCAGCTTCAATTTTTGATTGGAGCTCGACTCGTGCGGTTCGCGGTCGGTGCGCATGCGCAAAAAAAAAACCAAAATAAATTTTGATCGTAGCGCGAATTCGACTGCAGTTCCTGGACAACATGTTGTGGCTGTTACTAGTGGCGTCAGCGGCTCTGCTGCTGCCAATGCTGCTCAATTATCGCGGAGTTGTGGCAAATGTCACGGTAATTGAAGACATTAGGAACGCCTTCAGAGGCATCACCAACGACACCGAGCTGCTGGACCACATTATACCGGAAATGTACGGATCGAGCATGCGCAGTGCGAACCCGACCTTTGTCTTCCGAATGCCCACCCGTGGGAGTGCGAGCGGCAGCGCCAGCGGCGACGGCTTCGAGCTGCTCACCATGCAGCGCTCTGACTTTGCGGAACCAATCTTCCCCAATATCAGCGAATCAATACCGCCCACGGTCAGCGCTCCCTTGACAGCTGAGCCACCGGAAACGAGTGTGAAGACCAGCCTGGTGGCCTCTCCCCACGCCGAATGGCAGCAACTGGGCCTGGAGGGATGGGCGGGCGAATTGAAGCCTCCCCTTCCCTGGCTAGAGCAGAGCCACAAGTGAGTTTCAATGTTCTTATTCCGAGACTAAATCAACCAATGCAATGCGGATAATCCACCTTCAAATTACTCTCCAGGGACACTCATCCGGCGACTGGCTGGCAGAATACATATCCGCGCGATGAGATACTCCTCGATCTGAAGAACAAGCACTTCGATGGCCGTGTGACCGACATTCGGGTGATAGCTGCCACCAGTCCAGGCCGGCCAGCGGAGATGGAGGACCTAATGAACGGACAGAATGTGTATATTGCGCGGGTGAACGACCCCTTTGGCTACTCCATGAAGTGGACGCTCAGCAATGCCAGCAGCACGGAGCCGCAGCAGCTGGAGGAGCAAGGAGCTGGAGGACTGGCCGTGGATCGCGGCAAACGGGATGTGGCCAAGCTGTACTCAATGATCAAGTGCTCCACGGGCTGCGATCCGTTGATATACAAAGGTTACGGCTGCTATTGCGGCTTCGGTGGCCACGGTGTGCCCGCCGATGGCATCGATCGCTGCTGCCGCCTCCACGACAAGTGCTATGGCCAGAGCAACTGCATCTCCTACCTGGAGTACTTCGTGCCGTATGTGTGGAAGTGCTATCGGGGCAAGCCGCTGTGTGCCGTCGACCATGGCGAGTGGGGAGGTCCCGACTCCTGTGCGTCCCGTCTCTGCCAGTGCGATCTGCGGCTCTCGCGATGCCTCAAGAAGTACTACTGTCCCAAGCGACGATCCATTTGCCACTCGTCCCGATCGCGACGATTACAAAATTTAATATTCTTCGATTAATCAAATGTTATGACTTATTTATGTATTTATGTTGTTGATGGAACTGCGTGGCTGATAGTTAAAAACTAGGCACAACAAACCATGTAGAAATTTACGTAAAATCGGTAGTTGTGCGCTCGATATGGAATACTTATCTGATGAGGAATCAATCGTGTGCGAACTATACTAGCATTCATCATCCCAGGAGCATCATCTAATGATGCCTTTGGCTCTTCCTAAAGCCGCTCCGTGCCTTGCCGCCGTGGGACCTCTCGGCTCTGCTGCTGCTGCCGGCGCTGCTGTTGGCAGCCGGAGTGGAGGTGCTGGCGCTGCTGCTGGCCGACGTGTCCTGCACCACCGAAAACTCCTTCAGCGCCTGGACATCCTCCAAAAACAGACGCGCCGTCTTGTACTGCGTTGTGTGGGGCTTGTAGGCCAGCAGCACGTTGTGGGCCATGAGAAGCACATCGCGGTGCAGCTCGTTTAGGCTGCGTATCAGGCCGGAGTCGATGTTCCGCTTGATGGTGGGGAAGTCCATGTGGCGAAGACAGATCTCCGCATGTCGCTGGGCGTGCTCGTCGTGAAAGGGTCGACGGAACGGAGCTGCGTGCTTGCTTTCCTGCAGCGTCGCATAGATGGAGAGGAAGAGCTTCTTGGCGGCGGCTCGGGTCTCGCGCTTCTCGTCGGTGTGCTCGCTGGAGGCCGGCGAATTGGGGATACTGTCGATCACTGGCGTCGATGAACATCGGCGCCGCGTGCTCGACCTGGCCGTCGAATGGTCGCTGGCTGTCGTTGTATCGTCGTCAACCATGGGACTCTCGGACCGATCTCGATGGGGCAGCTTGCGCAGAAGCGGTGCTCGAGCCGGCGCCGACGGGGGCTGAGGAGTTCCCGGCTGTTCCTGGTCAGCTTTGGACTCTTCCGTGGTCGAATGCTTGGCGGATTGCTGCTGCTTCGATCTGACACTGCGTGGCGGATCATCCTGCTTGCTGCTGTCCGTCAACGAAGAGCTCTCCTCGTCCGTGTCGTGCAGGGACACAGCCACGGGTGCCGAGAGAGTGGCAGTCTTTTCCTCCAGAGTCTGCTGCTTGTCTGCTTCCTCTTGGTTTGCTTTTGCTTCACCTGCTGCCGATGTTGGTTCAGAGCTAACTTCCGACTCCTCTGTTGCTTCTACTACTACGTCCACGGCTTCGCTTTCAGCTTCAGGGGCCGGATCTGCATCTGTGGATTTCTCTTCCTCGTTCTTTGGGCCCGCTTCGGCGACCAACTCCTCCTCAGCCTTGGCCACAGTTGGCGGAGAGCCTGCCGTATCCTCACTGGAGGTGCTGATGAGTGTTATCGTCTCACCAATCTCCTCTACAGCCACCTCGCTGGCCAAACGGTCTGTATCCTCCGGCGTTGCATTTCCTTCGGAGGCAGTCACAGTGCGGTCCTTGCTGTTGTCCTGCGAGGCAACTGCCGCCAGTGGTATATTATCGTTGGAGTCATCACTGGAGCCAATTACCACCTCAACTGGCTTGGGCTCTTCGCCGGTGGGCGTGGACCTGGACTGTTCCCGCTTTAGTGCGTCCAGCTTGTCCTCGAAGTCAATGACCTCGGATTTAGCGGCAACGGGGGAGGCAATCGTCTCATCTACTTCCTTTAAGATCTCATCATCGATGACGCTGGCCATGTCAATGTCAATGTCGTCGATTATTTCGTCGATGTTAGATAGACCCTCCAGCAGCTGATCGGCCTCATCGGGATCGACCAGGGCGGACCCTGCGTCATCCAGCAACGGCTGTTCCTGGCTCGCTGTGCTCTCAGATTTCTCCGAGCTGCCGCCAGCCTCGTCAGCCTTTACTCCCGCCTTGTTCTTCTCCAGCAGCATTGAGAGCGTGGGAGCAGACTGCGACGGACTGCGCTCCAGTGTGGGAGTGCTGGGTGTGAGGGTTTCAGTGGCTGGTGGCCCGGTTATGGGGCGGGACATGAATGCCGCATCGGTGGGACTTTTCATGGTGATGGCTGGCTGGCTGGACACGGTGCTGGCCCCGCTGGTCAGCAGCGAGGTTATGGTGGGAGCCGTAGCTCTTGCCACACTAGTGGCTGTGCCGGGGGTGGTCGAAGGAGGAGCAGCTGGACTGCTGCTTGTGGGCGACTTCAGCAGGGACGTGAGCAGGGGAGACGGCCCGGACTGCTGCTGTTTGTTGCCACTGCTGTTGATATCCTCCACATCCATGTCGACGGCGGTTGTGTCTGTTGTCTGAATGGATCGCCGGGCGGCAGGACTGTTGTTACGCCAGCTAGCCGTCATCTCCTTTTTGCGCTGCTCCCGCTCGCGCATTTGGTTCTCCAGTTTCATTTCCTCAATGCGCTTCGTCTCCTGCTCTTTCTCGATCTCCAGCCACATTTCCTGCATATCCTGCTCGTTCACCTCGTCCGACTGCAACGAATCGATCTCGCGCTGTATCTTCAGGTAAATTTCCTGATCGGAGCGCATCTGCGCCTTTATCTCGACCATCCGCTCGTCCGTCAGCCGGCGCAGCAGCAGCTCTGTTGGCGTCTCCACCGAGGCCGGGGAGGAGACGCCGGCACTGCTCTCGCTGCTGCGTTTCTTCCGCTTGGTGGCCTCCACGCTCTCCAGTAAGTTTCCGTACTGCACGGCGCAATTCTTCTGCGAGTACCAATCCGCCGGTCTGTTGTTGTTGTTGCCATTGCCACAGACAGTTTTCAACGTGCGACTGACTGTAATCCAGTTCTGATCGCCGCTGCAGGAAACCGACGACGCCAGGCACAGATGCTCCCGCTTGGTCCACGTATCCAAAGGCGTTCGGTTCATTTTTAAACGCTATTTTCACCGAATTAAAAAAAAAACAAAAGTTACAAGCTAGAGGTGTCAAACCATCGAGGACACTATCGATAGTATCGATGTTTTGTTGCTAGCCGCTACTATCGATGGTTTTGCGACTATTTTAAGTATTTACTATAGCATTCAGCATTAATAATGGATAAATTTGACCGAGCTATAACATAGGGAGAGAGAGAAGGACATTTGTTGACATTTTTTATAAAATCTGGTTAACAAAGGAGGCTTCCCAGATTTAATCGGACAAGAAAGTGGGACACAAGAATCAAAAAGTGTCGTATTTATACGACCACAGATAGAATTTGTGCCGATAAAATGCTATAGTTTTAAGTCGGAGGTCGGCTCTAATATGTTATTTTCAAAATAAAGGAATGTAACCGCCGAATTGAAATCTTATCGCACTTATCGCACAAAAATACCGAAATTTGTTTGCAATTATTACCAGTGCAAATAGTGTCCAAAATCGCACGTATTTCTAATTAAATGAGGTGAAGAACAGGAAGATATTGTTGATTTGCCCATGAACAGTAGTTCTGTTGATGATATATACCACATAAATATTAATGTTTTCACCGAAAAGTTTATTATCAAAAATATTTGTGCATATCGATAAATCAAAATATATGCTACAACCCTATAAGCAGTGAAAGAACAAAAATGGCAATTCTTCTTTCTCCGGTCGTTCGTGGGCATTTTGCGAGAAAACTTTTCGCCGCATTTAAAAACGGCCGCATTAAATTATGCGAACTGCGTGAAACTCCGATTAAAGGTAAAAATTTGCCTCTCCGGTGGCTGGTTGACCTGATACATGTTTAACCTCAAAAAGACACGGACAACCTTAACCAAAAACAGAAAATTAAATACTCAATCCGGAGTGTGAAAGAATTTCGGGCGTGTGACTGTGATGTAACCGCCGCGGGGCCATGATGGCGATAGATAGTGGTCGGTTTTTTTGATGGAAATGAGAGAGAGAAACTCCTCTCAAGTGTTTCTTTATTTTAACGCCGAGCTTGAGGTTATGTGCAACAGTCTGGAATATAAATAAAACGCCGACTTAACCTCATTTATATCCAAATTGGTTTATAAGTTGGAATATTTCTTATGTGGGCCGTGGATCAAAGCGGGCTAGGTCTGCTGACGCCATGCGTGTGAGCGAGACGGCAAGTGTGCGCGTTGGTTGGAAGTCAGTGCTGCGAAATATTAGCCATAAAACAGCTAGATTATACTAATGTAACTAGTTTTGGCAAACTTTAATGATAAATGTGGGAAAAGTTCTTCCACCTATTAAGTTCACCATATCATATATTTTGACTTGCATATTACGAGTAAAGCAGCCAATTTAATGCAATAAGCTTAAGTTCTTTCGTATGTGCAAGCCAGATCTAGCTTGGCTGGTACCGGTATTGTCAGCACTGCTGGAAACAGTCAAGGCGTTGGCAATTGACTGCGCAGAACAAAAAATTGTTAAAAGCTTGGCAGCTTTGCGCGAAAAAATAATACAGTGAACGTTAGTTGGAATTTATCTTGCTATTAGTTTGAACTAAGTTTGTTTTTTGGTTTATTTTTGTCATTATGATTATGGCCATAGACTGTCTGGCAACGCTGTGTTTTTTTTGTTCTCTCTGTCTCCCACGGTCTTCTTCTTGAGCACATGTGTTTTGCCAGCCACCAATTGTTGCTCCCTCCCCGAGTTTTGTGAACAAACTTTCGTCTGCTATTGTGTATGTGCGTGAGAATTAGCAACAAATTGTCTTGCAGGGAAACTGAGTAATGAACCACCAGAACTATGGCGGCATCCAATGGATACAGCAACACCCCTCCGCAGCCGACGCCGGGGTGGATATACTGGTGGGAGATGGCGAAGACGGTGAGACGCCAGACGGGTATCTCGTGACCGATGGAACGACGGGCGAGGATCTCGACCATATGGCGGCCGAGAATCTCATATTCATGGCCCGCGACGGCCAGCTGAGTGAGATCATAACTGGCGGCAACGCTGTGATAGTCACTGCCGACGGCCACACCGTGGCGTACGCCGAGTCCTTTGACGATGACGCCCAGGTGGTAACCGAGGAGGTCATCACGGACGATTGGGTGCAGCATCAGGGAGCCGAGCGGTGAGTCTAGCAGTTTTTGCCTCAACGTCTCAAACTAAATCAATGAATATTTTCAGTGTGGAAATCGCCGCGGAGCAAATAGCTGGAAATGGCAGTTCGCAGGAGCTGCTGGACATGGAGCAGGACGAGTACACGGCCCTGCGCCCGTATCCATGCGACTTCTGCAGCCGTCGCTTTAAGAAGAAGTCCAGCCTGAACACCCACATGCTGGCCCACCAGAACGATCGTCCTCATCCCTGCAAGCTGTGCGGGTCACGCTTCTCTCGCCGTGCCGAGCTCATTAGTCATTTCAAGGCGCACGCCGAGGCTCAGGATGCAGCGGATGCGGAGGCAGCGGCGGCCACATCCATTAAATTCGAGCACCGCCCAATAGAGGATCATTACTATGAACACGAGTGGCCCTTATACCAGCAGGAGCAGGTCGCCGATGATCAGCAGCAGCTGGTATCCAGCAGCGAAACGCAACTGGTGCACGATGATAGCTACAACGTTGCCGCAATTACCGTCGATGCTCCCATGCCGACCCGCGGAAGGATCAGTCGCCTGAAGCCAAAGGAGGAGAACACACAGTACATTGTGATTTCCGACAAGACAGAAGCGCCCGAGCTGCAGGACTATATGCAAAGCGAACCCATGCAGGCGGTGGTCACCACCTCGATACCGATCGAGCCCCAGCCCAGAGCTGATCTTCCCCAGCCGAACTATCCTGTGCTGGACGACAGCAAGCCGTTTGTGTGTCAGCAGTGCGGCCTGGCCTTTGCCAGGGAGAAGGCGCTCTTCTCTCACACAAAGGTAAGGATTTGTTGCGCTGGCTTGTAGGGCTTGTAGGTAGCCCGCGATGGTTCCCAAGAAACCAGTTTCATCTTCCCTTATTCTTGTACCAACCACCAGAACCATCGCGTGGACTCGCCCTTCGAGTGCAACCAGTGTCAGGAGATGTTTTGGGACAATGGAAGCTTGCAGGAGCATCAGAAGACGCACCAGTTCGAGGAGAGCAACTCCGAGTACGATCCAGCATCGGGGGACGACAGTGCCAGCGAGTCGGAATCGGAACAGCTCTATGGCGAATTTATCTGCGAAGAATGCGGCATTTGCTTTCACAGGCAGGACCTGAAGCGACGCCATATGAAATCCCATTACCCGCAGCCAGACATAAGTAACGCTGACCAAAAGCCCATTATGGAAGAGGGAGGCGTCACCACCGATGATGTGATGCCGGCTGGTGATGCCGAAAATGCCAAAGATGATGCTCCCCACCGATGTCACACGTGCGGAAAGTGTTTCCCCAATGCCGTTGAGTTGAATGCCCATGCCGAGATTCACGCCCGTTTCCCGCCCTTCAAGTGAGTTCATCGATTGTACATACATCCATACATATGTATCTACATGTATTCTATCGTTTTGGTACGTCTTTTTAGGTGCGTCTTGTGCGGCGTCAGCTTCTATGAAGAGCAGGCCATTAAGCGGCATCTGCACACGCGTCATCCGCACGAGCTGAAGGCCAATTCGTGTGTGCTGTGTGGTAAGGAGTGCCGGGATCGGAAGGCTCTCATCAAGCATGCCTGGGACCACTCGCGTGAGAAGTGCCACTCGTGCTCCAAGTGCGGCAAGAACTTCCACAACAAGGCGCGTCTGAAGCGGCACATGGCCTCTCATCGGGACAAGTCGGTGGTGTGCGAGGTCTGCCGGGAGGAGTTCCCCGACGGACGGACGCTATCCAATCATCGCCACTCACACAGCACCACATCGCCGGGCAAACTCTTCCCGTGTCATGAGTGTGGCAAGACCTTCGGTTCGCGCAGCTCTCAGCAGATTCACGTACGCATCCACACTGGGGAGCGTCCGTACGGCTGTCGGTACTGCTGGAAGGCCTTTGCCGACGGTGGTACTTTGCGCAAGCACGAGCGCATCCACACGGGGGAGAAGCCCTACGCCTGCTCTGTATGTCCGCGTGCCTTTAACCAGCGAGTGGTGCTCCGCGAGCACATCCGCTCCCATCACTCCGGTATAGATGTGAAGCTGGGAACTTACCACTGCGAAGTGTGCTCCGAGGATCTGTCCTCGTCCAATGAGCTCATCCAGCATCTTATCAAGCACAGCGACACGAACACCGCCAAACAGCGTCAGCCCGTCGTGAGTATACCCCTCTCTTCAAGGGATCTTCTTTAGACACTTAAAACATCCTTACTTATTATTCCTTAGACGGGACCCCGGAAGTACAAGCGCAGGCGCAAGTATCAGCCGCATGAACTTGCCCACATGGCCGAGTCAAAGGATGAGCTCTTGCAGGAGGCCGAAGAGTATACCAGTGACCTAGACATCTGCGACTTTGATGTGGAGAACGTGGACCAAATCTTCGAAATGGCCGAATCCAGCAAAAAGGAGAAGCGCAAAAAGGGCGCAGCCAAGGAGCCGAAGGCGGTTGCCAATGGAACGGCCAAGGCTGTCCAGGATAAGTCGAAAATGCGCTATGATTCCACAAGCAGTCAGTCGGATCGCATGTGGGAGGGGAAGTTCCTGCACGACAGCCAGGTGTCGTTGTTTCAAATTGATTCGTTATCGGCTATGAATCAACAGCAATCACCGCTGCCTGCCAGCACTGCCAGTTCCTCCAGCGTGCCGAAGACGCGACGCAGTGCCAAGCAGCCACCGGCTCAAGGGCAGCCAAAAACGGCGCCACCAGTCGAGGTAAAAACGAACCCGAGTGCATCATCCTCTACGACTACGAGCTCGAGCAGTCGCAGCCGAAAGAAGGCGGGAACAAGTAAGGCGGCCAGTGTCAAGTCAGCTGCTGCCGGAAGTTCGCGACCGCGAATGATCCACACCGAAAAGACCAAGGTGCCCAAGGCTGCAGAAAGCTTGGGCACTGCATCTGGATCGTCCAAGAAGACGCGTGGCAAGAGCTACATCACCCGGACAGAAACCAGCAATCTGGATCTGCTTTCCAGCAGCGGCAGCACAAAGTCGCGAGCCACTGCCTCCAACATTGTCGACGACTATGAGATCATTTCCCCAGCCACACATCCACCCAACCAGATCAGCTCCAGTCCGCTGCACATTAAGCAGGAGCAAGAGCAGCAGCGCGTTCCGATGATGTACGACGACAATCTGCTCATCGATGCTGCCCTGCTGCGCGAAAAAACATACGAGCGATTCAATCCCAGCATAGTGAACGATCTGGAAGAGATTCTGCGCTCACCACTCAAGAGTGAGCGCAATTCCCGACTGCGTTTCACGAGCGAGTCATCGACAACGCCGCAGTTTTTGCCCGGCGAGGAGCAGAACCTCATTAAGATCGAGCCAACATCCCCCGATTTGCGGGAAATGGTTGAGAGCCAGCAGCGAGTCACAGCTACCACGGGCACCACGCCCTCATCCTCATCGTCGTCGGCCCGCACCTCGCGTCACCTGCGTCAGATCACTGCCAACAGTACGCGCGTGGGGAGCAAACGCTCCAGCAGCAGCAGGGCGGAGTGCCGAGAAGCCAAGAAGCCCACCACATCCTCCTCTTCTTCCTCGGTGGCGGCTGGGAGTAAGACCAGGAGCTCCGAACACTCGTACCTTAGCTACGGAGTAGGCGTGGACTCCTACAATGTGAATGTACCTGCCAGCGCCAACACTGCCGATGTGAGCTCTGCATTCTTTTCCATTTCCGAGGTGGTATCCGCCGCCGACGCAGCCGATGCTGCAGCCAAGGCAGCCGCGGCCAGCAAGTCGGACCGCAAGAAGCGCAGCTTCGAATGCGAGATGTGCTCGGCCATCTTCTATGATCGCGCCCAGCTGCTGGACCACGTCCACATCCACATATAGGGCAGAACTACTAACCTTCCCCTTCCCAAAATGAGCTTCTCCTTTCGCTTTACAAAACTGCTTTTCCCCTGGGACAATCAGCGGGAAACACTCGGATGGCTTTTGATAATATTATTATGACATCTTGTAACTTGTAATCCATTTATTTGATCTAGATCTTTGATTTGTCCACAAATTTCCCAAAGGGAAGCCCCTTGTATTCTTTAAATCGATTTTCCAAAACATTTTCAAGTGGAAATGGGATGGATGGGTGTTATCCGGATGGTTACTTCAGATCGTTGTACCATCGAGAATCGACCGACAGATCGTTGACTTATGCGTTATTTAAACTGAACATTTCTCTAATTTAGAGACCCCTTAGACCGTAAGATTTTTAAGTTTGTACCTCAGCCTTGGCTTTGAAGAATTGGTATGCTGGAATCAATAAAATAATTGGCTTTTCATTTGCCTAAAACGTTTGTTGTTTTGTGTTTTTGAAAAACCTGCTCTTGGAAACCATTCGATCGCGTAACACTATTCCTAGAAATCGATTCAATATTCATGTTTTGTAAGAGTAGAACTCTGCATGTTTGTAAAATGTCTTGATAAGATTTTCACAAGTAAATGGGAGTATGAGGGGGACTAATTTTTCCAAGAAACCTTCCCATTTCCTATTTCTTAGATGTAGAAAACGAGTATACCTATAAGAGTACATACATACATATGTGTTATTGAAACAAATGTAATTATGTGGGAACAAGATTGGTACCTGGCTCATACATTTTTCACATAGAAATTATTGATCTATAATTATATTGAAACGAAGCAAATTGTGATTGCGACTCGCAATAATATTAACGATGGGGACATTCGTTAGTCTCTACGCTTTTACCTCTCAAATATGTGTTAATTTTCTAGTCGTATAATGGGTTTTTAGTACAATATAAGGTAATAATTGTTCAATTATTTTCTTCAATTATATTTCAAAAGATCTCTGGACCTAATTTACAAGCACATCTTCAGCTGGAAATTTCTCTGAAAATATTTAGGTATAAGGATTATATTATCTAGTACTGATTACCAAACATTATGTGTAGGTAATTGGGTGATTTTCCTCGCTCCAGGCCAGATGTTTTATGGGTGCTACATTTTTATGATGCTGTACCTGGATTTCGGTTTATGTTGATAAATCCTCGAAGAGTATTGGATTGTTGTGAATAGTTTTCTCAGCTTAATTCCTAGAGAATTAAAAATTAATTCTCAAACACCCTTATCATTAACTAAGAAATTAATCTGTTCGATTAACCTCTTGGTAAACCGATCTTCTTTATTGACTTTGTCATATTGATAACTGAGAGCCATATATGTATATATATAAGAGAAATGGTGAGGCATATAAGTCATATAGCATCCGGTGTACTCAGTTTATAATAGTATTTGTATACAAAAACTGTTCTGTCCAATATGGGAGCAAACCGCATCGACACTGCAGCAAACTTCTTTACAGAACCAACGTTCTGTTTTTCTCTATCCGCAATATTATTCCATTGTGCCTCCCACAGTTATACAAATGTGCCCTCCCTCGTATAAAATGGGTCGCGCTCGCCGACTGAGCGATCAGTTTTCTCTCACCCGTCGAGCAGCACACATCGTAACGACGTCTGAAATATGAACGGAATGAAAATGCTTACACTATTGGGCCTCATGGTCGTGGGTGCCTTGGGTTCAGCCGATGAGGCGCCCATTGTCGGCGGCGCCTCACAATTGAGTGGAGAGAGGAAAGAACAGGCACTTACACTGCTGGACACCACTTTGTCGCAGCTCGCAACTGGAGATGGACCCACCTACAAGTGAGACAATTTCTACTGAGATAATTGAATTCTATAGCTAAATTGTTTGTCCACTTTCAGAGCTGTAAATGTGACCTCTGTGTCGAGCCAAGTTGTGGCTGGTACTCTCTATACGTACCAGGTAGAATTGGACAATGGATCGGACAAGAAGGACTGCACCGTTAAAATCTGGACCCAGCCATGGCTAAAGGAGAACGGTACCAACATCAAGATCAAGTGCGAGGGCGATGATGGTGAGCTGGATCGCACCTGGTAGATCAAAGTGCATTCCCACCAGTTTTTACCTTTACCTTTACTTTTACCTACGACTGGATAATTAAAAACAATAAAGAGAGGTATTCCTAAACTATTTCTTTATTTTGTCTCAATGGTAGTGGGAGCAACCCATCTTCGACCAGATTCAGGGGTACGTCTTATTTGTCTGTGCTCATCATCCGTAGTTCTCCGTGAATTCATTATAGAGGAACCAGTTTGAATTGAAAACCAGTTTGCTGTATATAATCGTATTCTATGAAAGATTTCTCTCGCTCTTTTTCTTTGTTTTTCTCTCAACTTTCGATCATTTAAAGCTGACGTACGGTACAAGTGTTGTTCTCTCCAGTGTGATATCATTTACTATATTGAATAGACTTTTGTTCGCACTACAGTCGCAATACATACTTTTTTTCCATCCATTACAATTAGATATTGTATTTATCAATAAAACGGGCGGGGCGGCTTCATATTGATAAGAGAAGACATGGGGGCTCCGTTAATGATAAGCGAAAAATATCTCGTACATATATTACGAGATATCGGATGTACGCGGACGGGGAAGTACGCCTACGTACAGTACAATCAGTAGTATTTTTTTTAAATTATGCATTTATTCGCATTGATTTTAGTAGCAAATAAAGTTTATTATATTATCGAAAGTTTCCTTATCAAAAATAAATGTCAGAGCCCAAGCACAAACACTGGTTGATACTCATTTGTCAGAGGTTGCTTGTCGTTAAACCAATATTCATTTCAGTTGATAATATTTGTACATAAGGAGTATGTAATATAGTAAAATGGCCCAAGGGAAACAAAATAATCTGCGATTGCATATGTTTCTAGAGCACAATGAACGAGGGAATCTCAATGCCATGATTATGAATAGCAAGAAGTTTTAGCAATTAGCACTAGAAAAATTCCAGGCCTTGAGCAAACATTTCTTTAAAAGCAAACTGCGGTTTCCCTCGCTATATATAGACTCATATGAGTAGCGCATATACGAGTATGTATGTATATGTTCTTTGTTCGCTTCGAATGACTCTGTTTTATTGACACAAAACACATTTAAATAAAGATTTCGGTCTGCCATAGGTCTGTTGATGAATCGATTCTCCGCCAGAGCTCCTGACCTGGGCAAACAAATCAAAATCTAAAAAAATAAAAAGCAAAGGCCATGGCTAATTAGCTAAGTAAATTAACTAGAATATCAAATAAATACGTTCAAAGGTGCACACAAACTTTCATCTCTCTCTTTCTCTCTCTCTTTTATATGTATTCGGTGGATAATCAATATTTCAAATGCTGTTTATCGCTGGAAAATAAAGAATCATTCTAGGTTTCGTTCTCTGGGGGCTTTAGGTAGCGGCTCTCTGGCTATATAAAACCAGTCACTCGCCACTAGGCGAATTCATTGTGGAGCTGCTTTCCGAGAAATACGAGTATGCACGCCATGAAAGTGATCTTTGTGCTGGGCCTTGCCCTGGCTGTTGCCTCCGCCGGCGTAAGTCCGGGAATTGATTTTCTGTCCAAAAAGATTGCATCATTGATTTGCTTCGTCCTCAGCTTGCTGGTGCACCGAGGACCCTCGATGGCGAAGATCTAAAGGAGGCGGAGCAGCTATTGAGCACAACGCTGTCCAAGCTGGCCACCGGCGATGGACCCAACTACCAGTGAGTGTATACCACGTTTATGAGAATCAGAACATTTACTAGTATGTGATTTGTAAATTTTAGAGTGGTTAATCTGATATCGGTGACCTCTCAAGTGGTTTCTGGCAGTCTGCACACCTTTAAGGTGGAACTGTCCGATGGAGAGGACAAGAAGCAGTGCACCGTCAAGATCTGGTCGCAGCCATGGCTCGAGGAGAAGGGCACCAATATCAAGGTGCAGTGCGAGGGCGACAAGGCAGAGCTGGATCGCACCTGGTAGGCAGACCATCAGATCATCCTATAGATAATCATAAAACATGGTTTTTTTGAGGGTTTTAATATTGAAAACATGTTTTTCCAATAAATGAACAAAATTACTCTCAAATGTTTTCCCTGATTCTATCTGATCCATATAGACAGTGCATTGTATGCAATCTGACGGTTTATTTAATCTGTATCTCGCTATAGTCCAGGAGGAGATCTATCTCACTCCTAACCACTCCTGTTGTTCCTCCTGGCTGCACGCCGCCTGGCTGCACGCCGCCTGGCTGCTCTCCTCCTCTCGGCCCTCTGGCGCCGACGACGCCGTGCAGCAGCCCTCCTCCTTCTGGCGGCGGCATTTCTTCTGCTGCTGCCGCTGCTTGCTGCTGCTGACGCTGCTGCTGTCGCTGGTGGTGCTGGCGGTGGTGCTGGTACTGGTACTGGTACTGGCAGCAACAGTGGTGGTAGGACTGTTGCCACTGGCTGGTGCAACGGTTGTTGCAGCACCTGCAGGAGCTGCAGTTGTGGACTCTCCGGAAGGTGCCACAGTGGTGGAGACACCAGCGGAGGATGCTGCCGGAGTCGTGGTTTCACCAGTCGGTTCGGATGTAGCAGCGCTTTGCCTTGCGAGGCAAACGAGCAGGAGGGCACAGCCCAGTAGAAGTGTTTTTGCTCTCATTGTTGGTATCGTCTCAAGTGATTTGGCTTGGATAATGCCCTGGAGGGTATTGTGCCCCGGCTTTTATAGCAATTTCTATTTTTGGTTCTATTTCTTTATGTCTATTATTTCCTATCTAGACGGCCCACACCTGAGCTAACAAATCCATGGAAAAATACCATTCATTTTAAAGAAAGAACATATATTACTATGACTCGCCGAAAAAAAACTCGTACTTTGGCATAGGAACGGCAGCATCTTTTCCAATTCGCAATGAAGCCTAAGAATCATTTCAGTGTCGAAAACTTCGTCGTTGCGACAGAAAACTGACAGATGCGAAAGATGTCGTCGGAGATATGTCGGATATGTACAGTGGCGTTAGCGCAGCTATAAATTTTCCGTTAACTGATTTTTTAAGAGCTTTTCTCCGATTAAATGTCTATAATATTGGCTAATTTTTATTTGCCTAATTTGATTGTATTATTTTATATCGTATTATTCTTAGACGAAATGTCTTAAATTAGGCTAACAAGAAAAGCACGTCTTTTAATATGCATTAGATATATCGCGAACGTACTTCGCACACGTTTGATTTACAAAAAAGATGGAAATACAAATTTTCCCCACCTTTTAATTCAATAATAAATTCAATACAAAAATATCTGTTGGTTTAAAAAATATTGTATTATGTACCGGTCGCGAACGTACGATTTTTCCATATGTTTTTTTACTTTTATCACCTCACGATACGCGATCGATGAAAGAACACGCATGACCTCATTGTAAATGGTATAGGAAATGAAAATTTCCATCCTTCATATCAAAGGCTGCCGGCACGAGCATTGCTGATCGCAGTGTCGATTAGAGCCCTCTCGACGCAGGTAAAAATGGGTCCAAACTTTAGAGTCTGAAGAGATCAAAGAATGGCCTAATTTAATCTGTTCCTGCGCACTCTTGCTCACTCAGCGACTTTTTCTGATGGACTTAGCTTGAAAGCTTAATATTTCCCAGACGGTAAGCTGGAACATACAAGCACATATAAGCTTTGCAGAATGGCAAAAATTATTACAACCAGATGTAAGATCCTTGAGTAATGTGAGAAAAAGCGCTACCCCTTCTGCCCTAGAAAAAAAAAACAGTCGTTAAGCATTTTTAAAGCCCAACTCAAATCCATGAGTTGGCACGAAGCGGAAAAATGGTGTCGGGTAGTGTCATTTAACCAACTTTACGCGTGATTCGGATGCAATGCACCAAGTACTGGAAGAACGTTAAGGAGATCGAGTACATAACGGTCAGCACGATCGCTTGCTAAATAGTTTCAATGAATGCGTGATGAGGTGTAACGTGCAAGTTGATCTAAACAGTCGAGATTTTTAAACATTGCAGGATACTTACAAAGACGATCTTAGCGGCCAAGAAAATGTAAATTGTAAACGGCCACACCTCCATATCTACACTAGATAATAGCTATCAACTCAACTAGACATTTTTTCACAGGTGGAAACTTTTGGTTCGTTCGCAAGCAAGCCGCTACCATGGCGTCACAGACATGTCTCTGCTAAACGAGACTGATGAGGTCAGCAGTGACCTAACATCAAATCATCAGTTCAACACTGTCGTTCTGCGCTTTGACCAATCAAATGTTGAATTGCGGCTAAGCACAACCCTAAGATCCGTGCCATGGTCGTCCAAAGAAGAGACTGGCCAACTCAGCTGCAGCTGATTTTATTCAAACTGTCCTTGCCAAGCGAGAAAAATGGGTCAAAGCTCCAGTGTAACAACAACTCTCTCAATGAGAAATCGTCGATTAAACCTGATGCAGAAACTCCAAAGCCCATTATGGCCGCACAGCCCACTTCAGGATAATCACATTCTCTTAGAGCAGAGTCCAATTATGTTAATACAAACGGTAACGCTAACGAGATTATTGGCGTTTAGTAGTGTCGGTCCCAGACAAAAGGAATCCGCAAAATTTCGTTTGCCCCCTTTGACGCTATTTCGGAGTATGTTGTCAGGTGCAAGCACTGTGAGGGGGAATTATCTACCAAAATAAGTTTGTGCTTTTTGAAGCGTCACATCCAGCGGCACCATCCAAAACTCATGCTCCGCAAAGGATAACTTAAGCCTCCTCCTTAACATCCAGCTGTGAAATTGATCGTCTGATCGAGAATAACATGGCCGCCCTTCCTTATGGAGGCGTGATCGATGCGACACGCATTTAAACATTAGAGAAAACTGTTTTCTTTATCGGCAAGTGGGATGCAAAACTGCTGCGATGGTTATTGAATAAGAATATACTTATGAAGTATAAGAATAAGTAAGTATTAATAAGTAATAAGTAAGTAAGTATATGAATATACTTACTTCTCCCAACTTCGGGGAGGTCTTTGCCATGTGTGATTCGATCGAAGGGCTCGTTACGCGTGTCACAGTCTATGATTATGCCAATGAAGGTGGTATGGTGGTATCGATAATATATTTGCCCTATCAGATGACATACGGCAGTGGCCGGAAGAGCCATCAAGTGCTTTAAAAAAAAGGCGATATATAGCATAGCTTTGGGCGCCGTTTGCATGTAGCATTCATGTTAAAGTCAGGTAGAATGGAGCATGCTAGTTTAATTGGTAAATTTTGTTGTAATCAAGAAGAGCGAATTTTAAAACTCCTCCGAACGGGGCGTGGCATGACTTTTTGTAAACGGGGGAACATTCAATTGATTGAGACAAAAGGACATATATTTTTTTCGACTTAAGATAGTTTGAAAAGAAGTAGCAGAGTAAAAAAAATAGACTCAAATAAAATTGACATGATCTAAATAAAAATTGGCTTTTATACTCAAAGAGTAAAAATGTTGTTGTACCGTCTGTCTGTATATCTTTCTTAGGCATCCAACAGTCTTGCTGTGCAAATCATGAAAAAAACTATTTGCTTCTTTAGGCTCTTTTCCTCAGCGCAGAGCATGCATTTTGGATCCATTAATTAATATTAATAATTAATTAATATTTTGGTCCTTGTGTTGTAGATTTATATAAAAAAAATCCCCTTGAAAGACAGTTTTTAGATATGAATTGGGATCTACCAGCAGATCCTAAGCTGAAATTCCAGCTACATGAGATTGTAATAGTTATTTTGGATATTTAAACCATTTTATTACTCATTGTTATTATCTGAATGTACATATATGGATTTGTCTATCCGACAATCACACGGACATTACGGTTGCGGCGCCTGTTCCTCACGTTGACGCGTCTACGGTTGCGGTTGGTGTTCCGGCTGGTGGTGCGAACGGTGGTGCCACTCCTGTTGACACGGATGCGACGTGTTGCGCTATAGCGAAGATTGCTGACCCTGACGATCTTGCGCCTGCCCCCCGTGCTGGTGGTGGATGCCGCCGTAGTGGATGCCGTCGTTGTGGATGCCGTCGTAGTGGATTCCGTCGTAGTCGATGCCGCTGCGGGTGTCGTTGCCTCTGTAGTCGCCGAAGCTACCGTCGTGGGAGCCAATGTGGTGGTGGCGGTCGCAGCTGCTTCTGCCACGCATTCGGCATCCGTGGGACTGGTGGCACAGTCAACACATCCTGTTACAGTGGGGTCTGCAGTGCAGGTGACAGCCTCACTGCTCCTAGGCATACAGGCGAACAGGACGATGGTCCAGGCGAAGAGATTGGCGTTGACTTTCATGGTGCAGTGGTGACTGTTGGATATGTCGGATGATGCCAGGGCATGCCTTATATAGTCGTTCGATTGTATAAGATTCGCATATCCAAAGATTATTGGCAAATTTACTCAGCTGTTTCTAAACAATTTTTGGTTTTTTCTCCGATTATTTGCAGAGAATTCGCCACCGATTGGCAGATATAAACAAACACATACTATTATTGCGGCTAAGTGCGTGTAGTTGAAAAGAAATTTGGATGATATTGAAGCTGCTAAGAGAGAATTCATGGATATATTGGTAGGTGTCACCTTGAAAATATTTCACTATGACTTGCGGATCGGACAGATGTTTATTTATTAGTCGAAAAAAGGCCAACAGACTGTGAAGGCTGAAGATGGCTCCAATTTGTTCCATTTTGTCCTTCAACATGCACAGTATGAGAGAAGGAAAATCATAAACTCTATAGTTTCTACCCATATATATGTATATATGTGTAACTTGACAATATCTACCATCTACATACATTAAAATGATTTTGAAAACAAAATCGATGCAGATTGTCAGCTATATGCTTAACTATAGATAAACATATTTAATTTTTTAAAACTATTATGAAAAACTAACAAACAAGGTAAATGCGTATTTCTGCCAACCCATTCAGGCAGGTGTGGTGGTAGGGCGCCGGCTTCGGCCACGCACTCCACATAGCTGGCACAGTCAATGCTCATCAGACAGGGGAAAAAGGTGATGACTCTGACTCTCATTTATGAGAGATCTTCCCAAAGATTACCTTTTACGAGCATAGTCGTTCGTTTCTATAAGATTCTGGTGTCCAAAGATTATTGGCAAATTTGCACAGCTGTTTCTAAACAAATTAGGTTTAATTTTTAATATTTTGAGAGAATTTGGCGTGGATTCAGACACACAAACATACTAATACACAGATGTACTATGTACACAGATGTACGATTGGAATTTATACTGATTGTTCCTAATAAACCTCTATATCTGTAGGTTTTGTACCAATTTCAGACCTATTAACGATGATAATGAGTTTGATCAAAGTGTACCTAGTGTCAGGCAGTAAATAAAAGAATGCCTCAACTGCTTGTACGAAGGAAGGTCTTGTCTGGGAAACAAATAATCCCTACTGAAGCCAATTAAATTCAGTTCGCTTTAAAGAACAAATGATTGCATATTTTTGAATTCTTTTCCAACTGTAAGAAACTGTTCACATTAAAGAATAGGACAGGGTATCCTGTCTATATTTGTGTAGAAATATGCGATCCGAAACAGCCAACGTCTAACGATCCTCCATGGGTGGTTCTCTTCCATTGAAAACTAGTCGGAAGGTTTTTGTCCGAGGCACAATCCCATCTGACAATTTGTACCATGTACCTTCTCGTTTGTGCCTCGAAGAAACTGGATAAATGTTTATGAATACTAATTAAAACGCAGTGGCCGTGACTCTACTTTTATACCCGTACTCAGTCAGTATATTTGTAAGCTTATGATTTATGTTTAAATATTTTATCTGTTTAAATTTGTTTGCCATATCTGTTATAGAAGGTGCATCTACATCTCCTCCGCTAAAAAGCGCGCGTACACTGCACAGGGCAGAGTGTGTGCGAGCGGGAAAGAGAAGGTGGAGCGTTAGCAGCTTACCATTAATATCTTTATTCGGGCTATAATAATGATTCGGCCATCGGGTAGATATGGCAATTCTATACGATACTTCTGGTACCTTCAAAATTGTGGATGCCACAGACTTTCGTTCTTTGTTAAGGTGGAAAGGGTATAAAAAAAATTATTTTTTGGGTATGCAATATATCGGTTTATTTAAGGTGTATCCTGTGACAAAGGTATCTGAAGTTCAGGATTAGATAAATTTATCCCGCTTAACCTCTCCTGTTGTTCCTCCTGGCTGCACGCCGCCTGGCTGCCCTCCTCCTCTCGGCCCTCTGGCGCCGACGACGACGTGCAGCAGCCATCCTCCTCCTCCTCCTCCTGGTGGCGGCTGCATTGCTGTTGCTGCTGCCGCTGCTGCTGCCGCTGCTAATGCTGCTGCTGTCTGTGGCAGTAGTCTCGCTGTCTGAGGCACCAGTCGCAGCAGTGGTCGCTGGACTGTCGGCAGGGGCAGCAGTTGTCGCGCCCGCAGGAGCGGGAGTGGTTGCGACCGCTGGACCGGGAGTGGTCGCGCCCGCAGGAGCGGCAGTTGTGACAACTGGGGTAGCCGGAGTGGTGGTGACGCCCGCGGCTGCTTCTGCCACGCACTCGGCATCCGTGGGACTGGTGGCACAGTCAACACATCCTGTTACAGTGGGGTCAGCGGTGCAGGTGACTGCCTCACTGCTCCTCAGCAGACAGGCCAACAGGACGATGGCCCAAGCAAAGATGGTGGATTTGACTCTCATTGTGCTAAGTCAATTGTACGATTGATGTACATGCCCCAAGATGGAATGCCTTTTATAGTCATTCTATTCAAAGTAGATCGCACATCTAAAGATTTTTGGTAAATTTGCACAGCTGCTTCTCCCGAATTTAACTTTTATCGATTATTTGCTAAGAATTCACAGAATATTGGCAGGTGAAAACATGTGTACAGGTTTTTAGAAGTACTTTTATAATGTCAATATTGTCCAAAGAGATTCGACTCTAATTCCAACTCTTAATAAAGCGTTGCTGGATATGCTGGGATGATGGGCCAGATGTTCAAATCAAACAACCTAGTCGTGAAATGGGTGTCGATGATAATCTTCTATTTGGTACTGAAAAACATTAACAGAATACTGCGAAAGCTCTGAATAGAAATAGAATGAAAGTAAGTATAGAAATTAGTTTTCTAGAAAATCATTTGGATAGACTAGAATTTTATCAAAGCGCCAACATAGATTGTTTGGTCTCCCAGTCGAGCATTATTTAGTATTTTTAGTCAGTGGTGCAGCCTTAAAGTAATTCCTGCTATTTGTTCGTTATTTGCACTGCCCACTGTACTAATTGTAATCGACATGCATCTACACTCGCCCCCTCACAGCCGTTTCATCCGTTCTTTCGTCTCTTCGTCTCACGCCATTCTCCTTTACTTTTCCATCATTCTCGCTCTGTCGCTCTTTCGTTCTATTGATCATTTTAGCTCTCTCGTTCTCTTGAACACTCTCTCGATCTCTATTTCGTAGCATCGCGTAGGGCACGGTCAATTCGGTCCGGTTGCCCTAACATGTCCTTCGCAATGGGCATGATCTGGTCTAGCACTTACATGCCTTTGCAATCTCTCGCACTTTTCTCTCGTCGCATATATAAACAAGCATTAGGGCACGGGCAGTGCGGGCCGCCTGCCCTTAGAAGAGTCTGGACGTAGCACTCGCACCTGACACATCGTCGCCTATCAATAAATAAACATATATGTATGTATATTAATCTGTTCGTGACGTTTTATTGTAAAACCGGGTGATACATTTGGTATCCTCCTCTAAACATAGATATTTTTCAAACAATATGATTTGCTTATTCTATTACAAATTTTATAAATATTATTATTTTTATATTAACATTTATGTATGGTTCTATTTTTTTTTTTAATTTTATTAATTTAAATATATCTATATAAGTGAACCGTTCAAATGAATAGAACAGGAAGAAGCAAGCGAGCAAATATTTTGTTTATTGGAACAACGATTCATTATGCGAGTAGAAAATGATTTAAAGAGTTAAGAGAGTAACGGCTAGCGAACTAGCTCATCAACACCGTTATCGCCATCACACTTAACATTGATGCTATTATCGTTCACCTTGAGCCATGGCTGGAGCACGATCTGGACCGTGCACTCCTTCTTGTCCGATCCGACCTCCAATTCCGCTTTGTACGTATAGATAACTCCATCAACAATTTGGCTCGTCACTTGAGACACACTCACAGGTCTAATAGCAATTAATAACATAAAATAGTTATATGTAGAGCTCCCCTGGGACTCCTCCTTCTGATTTAACTCACTTGTAGCTGGGACCACCTCCTGTGGTCAGTTGGGCCAGTCCCACGGACAGAACTTGAATGGCCTTCTCCCTCGCCTCTCCCGGTCAATACCACAGGGGCCCCGGGAAGATACCTTTCATCGACAGAATTGGAGGGGTAAGCAGCACAACTGACGACCATCAGGCCCAACAGACAGAAGAATTGGATTCCATTCATGATCGATGTGAAAAGCTCAAAGTATGAATGAAACTGATGAGGCAGGTACCCATCGTCTTCCTTTATATAGAACTTGTTCATATGGAAGGGAGACTTCCTTATCAATATATAATTATAATCTGCGATTTGTCTGATTGGGTTAGCAGGAAATTATAAATATTCCATCATTTAAGATTCATTCCAAGAAAATGATTTTTTATTTACTTCTTTATAATTGTAAAATCGATTGATAAGATTCGTAAATATAAATTCCCGTTTTCTGGAGAATTGTTTTTCATTTCAACGTAAAGTTGTATTCATAGAATTTATTCTTTGTTTTAAACTGATTATTCCGATTAAACTGTGCAACATAAAGAAACCCTGGAAATATAGCCACTTTTCCAAAAGACGTGTGGCTTTAAATTTTTGTACTGAATTTAATGCTTTTTTATGTTAAATTTTGGTATATTTAAATAAGTTTCTTGTCGTTTAAGGTATCGTTTATAAAAGTATTTGTAATAAATGCTTAACTCCAAAAATTGCCTGGTGCCGTTACATACTGCAAAGGAACGCAAAGGAAATGATATCTATGTATATATTGATGTGCTTCCAATTATATACATATATCTTTGTATTAAGACAATCTAAGATAGCCAGCTTTTGTAATCTGAAATTACCATATAGCCAGATGGTGAACAGACATAACATTTCATTTATATTGACTGCTGATCTAATCAGGTGAACCTTAGAGCTATATGTAAATACATATTTTTTTTGATAAGAAAATTCTATTGGCTATAAAAAGGGACATGCTTGGGACTGCTTAATCAGTTTTCTCGCATGTTTTGAGCTTTTACCATCTATAATGAACGGAATCATATTGTTGAGCCTCTTGGCCTTGTGCTGTGCTGCTTTGGGCTCATCCGACGATTTGGGCGCCCCTGTGATATTGACCAGTGAGGCGAGGCAGAAGGCCATTGAGCTATTGGACGCAACGCTAGCCCAATTGTCTACTGGAGATGGTCCCAGTTACAAGTGAGATAGAATCATAATACTCGAAAAAGTTTCACAGCTCATACATATGTGTTATTTGTACATATCAAGGCCCATATCCGTGGGCATAGTGACGAGCCAGATTGTGACTGGGACTCTCTATACCTACAATGATGTGGAACTGGAAACTGGATCGGAAAAGAAGAGATGCACGGTGAAGATCTGGTCCCGGCCATGGCTCAAGGAAAATAGCACGAAAGTTGTAATAAATTGCCTACTCGGCGATGGCAATGATGAGGTGGATCGCACCTTCTAGATCGAGCTCAATTTTTCCCTTTTGTTTGTTGACTTAATTGTTTTAAATAAAAAATATTTGATTTGTTGCTCTACTTGTTGTGTTTTCTGAAATTTTATTTATTTGGCTGTTATCCCTGGAAGTGTTATTTGCCATGGAATGCCATGTGCCAAATTCAGCAATTAATCGCTATCAAGTGTATTCTTGGCGCAAAGCGACCATTTTGTGTTGTTGATGGCGATTTTGTACGACAAAGTGGTAAAGTGGTGCTGGAACTTTCTACTGTTGAATTAGTGACACTTAAGGTGGGAACCACTGAAATGTTGGCAGCACTGCCCAAGGGTGCCACGTTACAATATACCAGAAGGGTCCAACTCCACATGGTTAAAGCGCTCATGGGGACTTCCTGTGAAGGCCAAAACTTGATCTGAACAATAATCTGCCAGATTCATTGCTTTTATAGTCTTATCTTGCTGTATCTTTTACTGGAGCTTTCCTAATCAAGCCAAACAATTATTAGACACATTTTTTAGACACTCAACATATGAGTGCAATTTATCGTATTATATGCGTAGAACCACTTGGCCGTGTCCATCGATTTTCAGTCTTTTTGTATGCATTGTAGAAATTTATTGAATGTTAACCAAAACTATGATCAAACTGCAACAATTTGTCTGTTTTTTTTCGATCAGAAAGTATGTGCGAAGATCATTGGTAATGGCTCTCATGATGGCGATCTGATCTGAACAATAATCCCACAGCCAGGTGCAACGGCTTCAATAGCCCCGAACAAGCTGTTTGCACTGAATATTAACTACTCGTAATTAGGCACAGAATTTGGGCAGCTTGTGTTTTGTTTCCAAACCTATGGACGTATTCGAATAATGACGAATGCAATTTCGTTTTGATATTAGTTGCAATGAAATTTGCGTAGACGGAATATAAATATATGGATGGAGTATTTATTGGCTGTGTTTATTTATTAAGTTTAATATACTCGTCGTACTCATGCTAGTATAATTTGTTGCTTGAAGCGAGTTACAGAAACCCATTTGAATGGTATACGAGAATATTTGAAGGGAATTCACAGCTTTGCGTGAGAGTTTTACTGCCATGCCATGAGCATATTTGTTTAGCATTCGGATTGCTTTTTGAATAATTATCATGACGTCACATCTCACTCTGAAGCGGAGCGAGAACAATGGACCTAATGAATAATATGTAGGGAGCTTCATATTTGAAGCTTTGCCGACCTGCTGACCAGCCCCATTGGCTGCGTTTAGTCGTTGCTGATCAGTGAACGGATTAGCCATGGAATTGTGGAGGTGCCTGCTGCTCTGCCTGGGGCTTACATCGATGGCTGATCTGGTGGTAATTAGTTGAAAATGTATAATAAGGTTAGTTTAATGTCTAATACCTATTACTTTACCCTCTGACAGGTGCCACTGTGCGTTCCGCCGCTCGACCACTGCATTGAAGATGTGAGTACTATGCACTACAAATACTTACTTTCCACCTACATTGACGTAAATTCCTTCACAGATGGAGGTGGCAGATGCTAAAGAGCGCTTGGACTATGTCCTAGCCAAATATGAGGAGCTGGAAATGAAAATTCCCGGCGAGCCAGTTGGGTGAGACACCAATATGCACGCTTTTCGCATTCCTATTCGCTAATTGCGGTTTTCCCCCTCCGTGCAGATTGCACGGCAAATTGGTAACGCGCGGAGAAATCGAGGAGCATCACATTGTGTTCCGGTATATGGACAATACACCAAATGACATCATCCAGACCTGTGCGTTTGTGGTCACCAATGCGCCCGGTCACTGCGAGACTATTGGGACGTTCTGTTCGGGCTTTCTGCCCCGCATGCCGCGTCCGTTGCTGGCACGCAAGTCGCTGAACGTCTGCGAGGATGGGGTACATGTAGCGGAAGACGAACCGGAACCGGAAGAGGAGGCCGATCCCGAGGAAGAGGATGACCAGCAGAACGATGAAGCGGAGAGACCGATGAAGGATGAGACTGAGGCAGCCCCATCGACAGAGGCAACCAAAGTTAATGAGTTTCTGTGATTTCAACACGACGACAAGCTCCCCATGTTCTCCCACATTATCGTTTCCAAGCATCCCAAAAGTATTCTACGATTACTTCTATTAACTCCTAACATTTCCCTTTGGCTGTGCCATGTCATGGCTTTCCCAAGATTCAGTTAGAAAGCTTCGCTCTGGTCCGTTCCGAGAGCAGCAACAACTATGCGGCTTTATAGTTCGACATCCGAACCGGGCTCCTTAGATGGCGCCTGCGCCTGAACGGAGGGCTGCACAGTGGTACTAAAGTGTGGCAGAATTGTTAGGAAATAAGTATCTTATTTCTATCTGTGTAAAATTGTGTATTTTATTAAAAAAATTATGAGTTTTATTTCCTTGCTTTAGTTGTGTTTGATTCTTATTAAAATGGCAGATGTGTTTAATTATACATATCCGTTCCGTAAAAAACGATTAACAGAAAAAACACTAGGAATGTACTGTTTGAGTTATTGTACAATACCATCTATGGTTCTCATAATTTCTGAATCAATACATTGAAATTTTTTTTTTTAATTACCGAGAACATTAAGCAAACAGCATTCCAGCTTTGTACTGTACATATTTGTTTCTTTATTCCTTTAAGGTTTAGAGTAAATGTTTCTACGATTTCTGCTTTGCCCCAAAGCGCGCCTTTTTAATGTTCTTTAACATCACAAGAATCATATTAATTTTGAAACACTGTAAGCTACTGTAATGCGGGAGAAGAGCCATGGAAAAGCGTTCTCCAGCCGATGAAAGAGAGAGAAAGCAGAAAGCTTGCGCCAAATAACAGTAAACAAAGCCGAATGTCAGCTGCTGCTGCTGCTAAGCGCCAACCAAGGCAACGTTTCAGTTGTTGTCGGGCGCCAAAGCGAACTGGAGCAGCGAAAAAGAAGCGCTGAAAGCAGCAGCAGCAGCAGCAGACCGCCAAAGCGCGTTCAAAGCTCCACAATACGCTGCAGACAGACAGACAGACAGATAGAAAGAGAGAAGGGTAGAGTGAGAGCGCGCCTGCTAGCTTTTTGGCGACAGTGTCCCGCACAGAATTATTCTCTCAGTGCTATAGTTGTCGTCGCGCTGTGCAAAGCTCGAAGCTCGTGGGTTGTGTTGCGTTGGAAATCGGGCCAGTCATACAGCGCCCGCTCACCGCTCGTCGCCCACCGCACACCACCCTCGTCCAGTGCCACGCCACGCCTCTCGCGCCTCGTTTTGCCGCCCAGCTGCCACAAGACGGTGTGTGCGTGCGCGTGTTTGCCGCCGGTTGTAAAACCCAAAGGAACACCCAAAGAAACACAGTGCGAACAAAAGTGAATCAAACTGTTTTTGCATAATACCAATCCAAATTGAAATTCAAATCGAACAGAGAAAACCATCCCGAAATCCGAGTCTAATCAATGTGAGAAACAAACAAATAGTCAGCGGAATCTCGTATCAAATGCAAATGGAAAAACTAAACATTCCAACTGGCGCGCAAATAAAATGATGAGCATAGTATATTCTTGGTATATAATAGGTACTATATTAACGTAGTTGTTGTGTTGTCAAGTGCAGTGCAAAGTAATTTGCCTCCGTTGTCGCCACTAATACGAGTTCCTGCCTGTTCCTCCACCAACCGCCCGCCAGCACTGACAGTCAGTGCCCTCTTGCCACCGCCGGCTGTACCGTAGCGCCAGCCAGCGCGTGTTATCAGCCACAAGCGCAACAACGAAACGCGACAAAAACACAGAACTCGGAAAAACAACAAGAGAAGAAAACGCAACTCCAGACTGAATGTGAATGTAAATCTGAATGCATTTGAACTCAGCGTAAAAGCTCAATGTGAGTGTGAGTGTAAGGTGAGTATTCATGTGTGTGTGCTGAGTGTGTCTGAGTGTTGTGCCTCCGGGCTCTCAGCTGAGTGCTGGGTAAACAATCCAACCAAAAACCAAACACAAATACACATGCATAGACAGACAGACACAGCACACAACAAAGAACACAGCACACACACGCAGATACACCCACAGACACACAAATTAGTATCTCGAATGTAAAGCAAAACGCGGACCGGACCCCAAAGCCCTTGCCCCCCCGAAATGTGCGAATTATAAAATATTTTACCCTTGAATGTCATACGAATGCGAGTGTTATTCGTGGGTAGGGGAGGGTGAAGCGATAGCAGTATTAGCACTAGCGTGTGGATAGGGGGTAGGTGCCACGATAGCGGGGAACCTTACTTTTTAGCAACTTTTTGTTGTTGTGGCCTGCCTCTGGGGAACACACAAAATACAATACAGCTTCAATCCCATACCATCCCCACCACCAAAAAGTAAAACACAAACTTTTCTGTGACGTGCAATACCTAACGGAAATTACTTGGAGTGCTGCCGCCTGCTTTCACGCATTTTCCCGCTTTTCACGCGCGGAATTTTCCTTGGATTGCCCTTTTTCTTGGAGTCCCGCCAGACGGCCTGCCAAAGTGTCTGTGAAATCCATTAGGTTTCTGTTTTTCTTTCTCGTTTTTTTTCAGCATTGACTTTGTCAACGGTTCATTCGCATCCAGGGGAGAATGGACCCCACCTACACTCCGCCTACACTTAACCCAAACGACCACTGCCAGAGCAAGTCTTTTACTTCATTTTAATGGCATCAATTCTGCCACTCACCCGTAGATCCCATCACCATCCCATACGTCTTCCCTTTGAGGATTTTACAAAAAATGTTGTCAAATTTATTGACTTATTTGTGTTATTGTTGCTCTATCGCCATTGTGTTATCTGGCTTTATCCTAATTTTTTGTTTGGCTATAAGAATGCTTCTATACGAACGAATACAATTTTGTAGCTGTGTTTTTGAGACTTGAGAAAATTAATTCCGTATAGTAGTTTAGAGCCTAAAGGGCAATAAATTCAACTTTTGACAAGTTTTGAGAACTCCAATTAGGTTAATTATTGGGTTTGTATAATGTTATGGGGGCATTGCTATTTGGATAAATTAAAAGATTTTAATTATTAAATCTACATTGAATATTCTGTATTTTATTTAAATCTCGATTATAGTGGAAAACATTTTCTATGGATTGAACACCACAAAACAATTACAACTCAAGCTCATATTTAATAGAGAATTCATTAAATCACTGACTATATTTTAAAGAATCAAACGAATCAAGATCATTTTCTGATATATCGCTGGACTATTTCATTATTTATTCAGTTTTAGACAAATGTATGTTTCTACCATTCAGTGCTTTCTAATACGATATTTAGAATTCATATCAAATGGATTATCGTTTCTGTTTTATCGTACAACTATATCCTCGTTGATCCGAGACAGACTTAGCCTTCTTTCATTCATTTTATATACTTAATTTTCAAACTTTTCTCATCCTCTACTCCATCCCTATTCAAAGTCATACTTTAGCTAATAAAGAACCCCAATTTTCTTTAACCGAAAAACTGTATTAGCTAAGTGAACAAGGATATGAAAGGCAAAGAGAGACTTCTGCCGCCTAAAAGCTTTTAAAGTGCGCCCCACCGTACCTGTCTGTAGCCGGCACACACCCAACCAACACTTCGAATCTCGTGGGAATCCCCTCGTTTGTATTTTTTATGTAATGCGGGGAAGGTTAAGGTCGCTCGGATTTATATGGTATATGGAGTCCCGATTTCGGCGAGTCAGCCGCTTATAAATAGTCCGCGCCGCGGCAGATTACCCCTCCGCTCCGGCATGCGGCATGCACTTCCAGCAACGCGGCCGTTTGTTTGCTCTCTCGCTTCACACTGTTTTCGTGGCACGTGCCCGTGCCCCTCTGACTTTACCCTCGTCCGTTCGGCGTCTGCCGCTGACTGACGTTCATTGGCTTTTGTGCGAGGATATATGTACGAGTATGTGTGTTTGCTTTTGTTATTGTTCCTTCATTCTCGGCGTAGGCTGTACGTCCGGCGGTGTCCTCCATCATTGGCCATAAAATGGTGTCTCTGCGCCCATTTCGCTGGTCGCGTCGGCATCTGCGGCTGTGTCTTATTCCCCGGTTTAACCTTGTCCCAATGCTCTCTCCCTCTCCCGCCCTCATTCACTGTCTATGATTCTCTCATTGTTTTTACGAAATCCGCACAACCTTTGGCCCATTTTTACAAGTTTATTTTGTTCCACAAATTCTTGGGCATTCTTTGCATTTTATTTCGTTGTTTGTTAGCATTTCCCACTCCTTCATATGTCATGCTGTCTGTCCTGGCTGTCCGTCTTTGTCCTGTCATCCCGCATATCCTGTCTTCCGTTTTTGTCCAACATTGTCATTTAGCAATTCATTTATTTAAACGCCCCGTTGTCGTAGCCCTGGAGACCATTCCATTTGTGCTTATTGATTCAATGAGAGAGAAAGGTTAGGTTGGAAATGAAATGACAAATACAACTGACACTAATTCGATCTGATGCTTTTAAAAATACATAGTCCCACTTTTCGTCCATAGGTTCAGGTCGGCTTAATTACATTTGACATTAATTTCATTTAATTTTTGGAGATTTCTCATATCTATAATCCGAATTCTATATTTGAAGCTTCGGCTTGACTTAAATGTATTTCCTTTTCTCATTTACAGACGATACACCCAACAAATCGAAGGCAAAAACAGAATTGGTAAGTCATATTACGTATAAGCAGCAGGCAAATACTAGGCAAAGATTTGATGGAAGGAACAGAGAGAGTTTTAGAACAAGATCTATTAATAGATGGCCAGCAAAAAAGAATAGTTGTAAACTATCGAAAACGGCGACATGGCCAGAAAACAACCTGTACGCCATGTCCTGAAAACTGGTCACGCTGCAGCTGTCGCTCGAATTTCAGATACACGGAAATACAACCGACAAGATATTGGAAGAAACTACCGAGCACAAGCACAAACACAATCACGGGGGAAAAGTTCATCGGTTGCCGTTTTGTGCAACGCTTATCCGTCTTAGCCACTTTGAGTCGCGATTTCGCAAAGTTTTGGCCACGTTTACTTGGCTTTCCTTTCCCCCTGAGACTCCTTCTCGCCTCACTTCTTTTCAGTGGCTTTTCGGCGGAAACAACATACGAAAAAAGAAAGAAAATGGAAAAGGAAAGATAAAGGGGATAGCATAAAACGTGGCCCGATTCGTTTTGGCTTTGGGTTTCGCTCTGGCTCTCGTCCTAAATTTGTTTTTTGCACGACTCCCATGGCGAAAATTATTGTCTGAGGTTGTGTCGCTTTCCCTACAAACGCATAAATTTACTGTGCTACATGTCCTCTTGATTCCCCTGGTTTACCTTCCTTTCTGCTATTCCATTTCCTTGTGTTTCCTTCTCTGCTCACATACGAGTATCCTGTTACCACTTTTCGTAGTTTCCCCTTTTTTTTATATTTTTGTTCTATTGTGTTTGGCTTTTCCTTTTTTAGTTTTTCCAACCTTTTCTTTTGCTATTTTTAGACCAAAATTTTATTTTGGTTTTTGTTTTGTGGCTGACTGAAGTTGACTCTTTTTGTGGCAGCTCTGAGGTTCTGCCCGAAAACCGAATTGTTTACCGATTCTAAATTCAATTAAAGGCTTTTGGCTTTGCTATGCCCTCAATTTATGTATTGATTATATAATAATACACCAAAATGCGTACCGCAGGCTCGTGCCATGTGCCACATGGAAGTTGCCGCGTAAATAATTGCATATACAGGGAGGGAACACAAGTGCTGCTGGCTACCCGAAACCCCTTGCGTTACGAGCCGACGGCAATTAAAAATAAATTAAATAGTGCACATTACGCATACGCCGCGTGTGACACTCGAAAAAGGAGGCCACAGAAATGGGTCGGAGCTCTCCATACTGAACAAATGATAATGGTACAAATAGCTCAGGGAATTGTCCGATTAGGTTTCAGAAATTGCTAGTTTATATTGATGTTTATTTAATATCATAAGGATTTGTTTTGACAACTTAATTGTTCCCAAATATTATCTCATTGAGTGATATAGGTACATACTCCTAAAAATTATATATCTTCCATTGAAAATTACCCTTATTTATAAAAGGATTTTATTCTTACTTTCACTATTCCAAAGTATATATTTTTCATAAGAAATTCTATGAAAATTGAATGGAAATGTTTTTCTTAATATTTTCCATTACAAATAAAAGATAATTTTCTCCAGGAAAATCAAATAAATATTGTATTTCGAAGGCATCAAAGAATATCAAAGTGAAAGAGGATTAGAAAAACAAATACAATTTTAAGCTGGCATGGAGAATATATACATTCGTATTAGAATAACAATTCAACAAAAGAACAAACAGAAGTGAGTTTCTTTAGGCTTTAGTTTTAAGTAATTTAAGAGCCAAAATAGTTCCCTTATGAGTCTGATGGCTATTCTATCCATATAACTACAGGTGTGGTTATTCCCGCAGTGAATTTCATGGGCCAACTGGAGAGCATGTTTTCATTTAGCAGAAAAAGTGTAGAGTGCGGCAAAAACACTGACTTTTGAACGCCTCCACATAAGTATAACAGCCAAATGGTAGGGCACCGCCCACACAAGAGTCCTGGGTGAGTCCTTTTGGGTCGGATGGATGGTCTCCGTTAACTTGTCGAGCGGAATGGGCATAATTAAATTATTCCACAGCAACTGCTGCTGCTGCTGCTGGTGGAACAAGAGTCGCGCCCATTGAGTTAATTTGCGACAAGTCGGAAAGGTGGCAATGTCGACATTTTACTTTCTGGCCAACTTTCAAGTATTTGGTTGTCCTTTAAGCCGCTGCCCAGCTGCGCCCTGCGTCCTGCGTTGAACTTTTCGCTTGAAAAGGATTAATTAGGATTAAAAGCGTGTCGAGTGGTTGACAAAAGCCCCGAACGGTTAACCAGCAACTACAAAGAGCCCAAAAGATGAACAGGCCAACGGGCAGCCACAAAAGGGAGGTGTTAAAAATGAAATAAAAGTGGCTCTGCCTCCTGTGGCTTAATCGTGTGACACAAATAAGTCAACCAGTTGGCCAACTTCTGGCTGCTGTCTGCTGACTCCTCTCTGATGATGGGAATTTCTCCGTTTTGTGCATTGCTCATTTAATTAACATAATTCGATTTGATACTCGTTTCATTTTTGTGGATTTACTCTTGTATTTAAATAAATTCAGCATAAACAACAATTTGTTAAATCACTTTTGCTGTTCTCCTGTTCTGTTCTGCTGCCTATTGATCTTGCCCCCGAGCCACATTTAAATTGAATAACAATTTCTGAATTGGCTTAACTCACTCGATTGACTCGTTCCAGTCCCGGTCCCACCTGCAGCCCCATTCCTCTTTGAAATTGAATTAAAACTAACTACACTTGTGGATGGTTTTTCAATAAAATCAGTTTTGATATTCTGTCAAAGGTTTTAGCGAGTGTGTGAGTGTTGATCCCTCCTAAATCGGTTCTAGTGATTAATGGCAATCAATAAATCAGATTCACGCAGCGCATTCGCTAAGGGAAATACGGATCCTATCGAGTGTTTTAAATTGAATATTCCACAATCCCGAAGCTACAATTTCCCCCAAACTATGCCTCACTAATCTAATGAAATCATTTCCATTTCCATTTTGCTGACATATAAGTTTTTAAAGCCCTTAAATAGGGCAAACGGCAACCCTTTTTCTCGGACCCTTGTGAATGGATGGTGCGACTGGAAGCCTGACTGTGATATTATTTAATGTTCTATTGCGGTCGTCCTCCATGCGGAATAGTTATTATGTAAATGGCCTATTCATTCCAGTTCCCCTGGCGGCGAAGCCCTTGTTTAAGGGGTACAGCGGCGGGTGTATTAGTTCTCCTGGGAATACAAGTCAATTGAGAATAAGAATTTTTAGTTCCAAATCGTTTCTTTGAAAGAAGCAAGACTTACATTCTCACATTTTTAAGTGATTAAAATGGTATCCAAAGAAACGCTTCAATGCCTAGCAAAGGGTTTAATGCTTTTGGTTAAAAAAAAGGGTATAATGTTTAACAATTTTGTGGAAGCCGCTGAGCCGTTGATAGAAAAGTGGGCGTCTCTCGGTTTTTTTAAGCCAAACTGCAGAGCGTGGAACGCATTTGTTTGGTCAACAAACCGAGTGGAAAAAACTTTTAACTGAAATTCAAAAGGAAACCAAAAGCACACACACACAAGCACAAAAAACATGGAAACTATAGAAAGTGGAAATTCAGCTTAGCATTTGCTCTGGAAAATGTTGAATTGTACTCGAGAGAAAGTTGAAAATTGTGAAATGTAAGCAAATTGTGAATACCAGACCCCGAGATGTGAGGAGATAAATGCGCATAGATGAAGGGTAGAATAGGCTACCCAAACCCCATTATATCCACAGATAGGCCCACCCACACACATACATATACACACAGACACATGAATGTGGCATAGAAGAGCGGAACCCTGCAGGTTGGTGGCATGGTGGCATGGTGGCATGGTGGCATCCGGTTTTCCAGTCATGGGGCTTGGTGCGCAGCAGTGAGCGGCAAAAGTACTCGCTGCTAAGCAAATGTATGAATATTTTATTTTGCAAATGTAACTAAATACATAAGCAACGCCACAGGACAAGCTTTCATCTTCATTCGTGCCACTTCACTCCGCCACTTCCCACCAAATCTGCAAAAGGGACATGTGTAAAAGTGTCAATGGATGGGTGTGGGTCATGTGGGCCATCTGCCAGTGTAGCATGTGAGGCATTGTGGGGTCTGAGTGTTTGTCTGTTTCTGCGGTTTTGCAATTGAAGATCCACACAGTCCTGTCTTGAGTTGACTTGAGTCGAGAGTCGGTTTCTGTTGCTTTTGTGGCACGCTTAAGTGCCACCAGAGTTCGTCTTTCCATAAGCGATTCTGTTGCTTCTGCTGCTGTTTATGCTTAAAATCTATGCCACATTGGTTCGTTAGCTTCAACAGTCATGTGTCATGTGTGTTGTTGGTTGTTAGTTGTCATTCGCTTTTTGTTTTAAGGGTCATGTTCATGCCGCTGTTTTGTTGCGCTTTTGTTTTTGCTCCATGTGTGCCTGGGCTTTTGTGTGCAGTGAAGAGCGCTTGAGGTTGCAAATAAGCGAACAGGAAGCCTTGCAGACAGACAGACTGAGGACTGAGTCGCACAGTTACAGTTAGAGCCCCCAGCTTGTTGGGCATCAAGGCCGCTCCGCACAGCCCACGCAAATGGGACAAAAAGGCATCAGCATAAACGGCCATAAACAGATTTCCAGGAGCGTACAACATGCAACAATGTTCATGTAATTATGGGGCCTCGAGTCACTGTCGTCCATGCCGTCAGTCGACTCAGGTTGATGCTTAACTCCGCTCAGGTTTACAGCTATCCATGGTGTAGACACCGAACCAGCAGGAGGCCCTTCAGCTGACTTATTATCCCCTATCCCCTTCCCATATGCCATATCCACTGCCTCATGTGTCGTATCTGTGTGGGTGTTACAACCAAATCTCTGAGGCAGATGCCTCAGCAATAGAAGAGCAGAGCATAGGAAACTTTGTGCTAATTAATAACCCTAATTAAGTTGACTTAATCTAAATAGCCTTTTTTCCGGTTTTTGTGTGGATGAAATGTGCCACAAAACTTGTATTTATGTGGCATATACTCGTAGTCATTATTTACTCGGAACGTACT